TGACAATGGTAAAGCTGTGCTTGATACTATCACCTGAGGATCATATGGTGAGTGAATTTTTGAGGAGATCGCTTAGAAACTGGAGAAAATTTCATGAAACAATAAAACATGAAGCACTCAAAAGTCAAACACTGGAAGAAGCACTTTTGCAGTTCAATCTGCGCCTAGTCAATTTGCTGATGATATTCGTGAGGAGATGGCTCAGATAAGGATAGAACTTGGGTTGGTATTGAAGCGTGTAAGAGGAGGTCCAGAAAAGGTAAATGATGTGAATTATTTGACTAGGAATCCACCACCACCAGTTGAGGATTGCTACTATGAGAAAGATGCGTACTTGTTGAATGATCAGAAGGGGGATTTTCGAGCCAACACCTAAGGTTCCAACTCGGATAATTGGCGCCAAGGGCAAGGAAACCATGGTCGGAACTATGACAACTACAACTGAGAGGGTCACTATGTCCGGTATGGGAACTACAATCGCAATAAACACTACCACCGGAACAACTATAGCAACCGAAATGATAGGGTTGGTCCTTATGTTCCTCCTACAAATCGGGAATCTGGGGGTAGTATGTCACGGATTGAGGAAATGATGCAGAAGATGATAAAGTGGTTCGATTCGACTAATGAGAATATGAAGGAGATGCGGAATGACTAGTATGGAATTGTTCAAAAAGTTGATGCTCATGCAGATGAATTAGTTGTCCACTACAGTGAACCCATGTCAGCCTGGCACACTTCCTAGAAACACCATCCAAAATCCAAAGAACGATGGGCATTGTATGGAAGTCACTACTCGATGGGGTAAACAGACCATTGATCCACCTATGTTGTCCGAGGTTGAAATTATGGTTGAAAAAGAAGATGATGAGATTGAGGTTACTGGAGAGTCCATGAATGCTACAAAAAAGGAAGCGGAGATAACTCAAAAGGTTGTTCCCATGCCTAGACCTCCACCTCCATAACCACATAGGTTGGTAAAGAAGAATGAGGAAGGAAAGTACCTCAGGTTTATCACTATGTTGAAACAGCTTTCCATCAATGTTGCATTGATAGATGCTTTGGAGCAAATGCCTGGGTACGTAAAATTCATGAAAGATTTGGTAACTAAGAAGGGGCGGTCAGTTTTGAAGATGATGATAGGTTGCAACATTGTAGTGCAATTTCTACGGGGTCACTTGTGCAGAAGAATGAGGATCCTGGCGCCTTCATTATTCCATGTACCATCGTGTTGTAGCATTTTGCTAAGGCATTGTGTGATTTAGCTGCTAGCATTAATCTGATGCCATTGTCTATTTACAAGAAGTTGGGTTTAGGGCATCCAAAACTGACTGCGATGCGATTGCTCATAGCCGATAGAACTGTGAAGAGGCTAGTGGTATGCTCCAAGATGTACTTGTGAAAATAGAGTCTTTTATCTTTCTAGTTGATTTTGTGATACTTGATTGTGAGGTTGATTTTGAGGTTCCCATCATCCTTGGGAGACCATTCCTTGCTACTGGCGCGCCTTGGTCGATATGGAGAAAGGGCAGATGGAGTTTCGATTGAATAGTGAAGAGGTAACTTTTAATATTTGTAGGTCTAAGAAGCAGGAAAGCGATCTCAAAATAGTGACAATGGTGAATCATATTGTTGAGCGAGGTTCTGATGTGTCTATTGAAGAGAGGTTGGGTGTTGATGCACTGGCAGCGGTAATGATAAATTTTGAGAGTGATGGTATTGAAGACTATGTTGAATTGGTCGCCATACTATGTTCGATTTCCATTCCAAACCAAAGAAATTGGAGCTAGATATAAAGAATCGCGACTCTCCACCTTTAAAATCGTCTGTTGAAGAGGCTCCAACATTGGAGCTTAAGGCTCTACCATAACATTTGTGGTATTTATTCTTGGGGAGAGATGGTACTTTACCGGTCATTATTGCGGCAAATTTGAATGTGGTACAAGTTGAGGCATTGGTTTCGGTGTTGAAGAGGTTCAAGTGAGCTATTAGGTGGACGGTTTCGGATATTATTGGGATTCCTCCGGGTATTTTTTCTCATAAAATCTAACTCATGTCGGCTCACAAGCCTATTATCGAGCACCAAAGGAGACTAAATCTGTGTATGCAAGAGGTAGTGAAAAAGGAAATCATCGAGTGGTTGGATGTTGGAGTCATTTATCCCATTGCAGAAAGTAGTTGGGTTTGTCCTGTTCAGTGTGTGCCCAAGAAAGGTGAGATTACTGTGGCTCCTAATTTGAAAAACGAGATTGTTTCGATGCGGCCTGTGATTGGATGGAGAGTATGCATGGACTATCGGAAGTTGAATTCTTGAACAGAAAAAGACCACTTCCCTATGCCATTCATGGATCAGATGTTGGACTGCCTTGATGGTAAGGGTTGGTATTGCTTTCTTGATGGTTATTCGGGATATAATCATATCTCCATAGCTCTGGAAGACCAAGAGAAGACCACTTTTACTTGGCCTTATGGGACTTTTGCCTTCAAACGGATGCCATTTGGGTTGTGTAATGCTCCAACGACCTTCCACCGTTGCATGATGTCAATATTCTCTAATATGGTGGAGGACACTATTGAGGTATTTATGGATGATTTCTCTATGGTAGGTGACTCATTTGATGGTTGTTTGGATATATTTCGCTGAGGTACTTAAATGGTGTGAAAGTGCAATTTTGTGCTCAATTGGGAAAAGTGTCACTTCATGGTGAAAGAGGGGATAGTTCTTGGGCATCAGATTTTTGAGAAGGATATTGAGGTTGATAGAAAGAAAGTCGAGGTAATAGAAAAGCTTCAATCACCTATCATTGTTAAAGGTGTTAGAAGTTTTCTTGGGCATGCAGGCTTTTATAGGAGGTTCATCAAGGATTTCTCCAAAATTGCACACCCATTGTGCAAATTGCTCGAAAAGAAGTGTAAATTTGATTTTGATGATGCTTGTCTGAGAGCATTTAGAGATTTGAAGGAAAAGCTAGTTTCCGTGCCTATCATTATTTCACTGGATTGGGGGCAACCATTTGAGGTAATGTGTGATACGAGTGGAGTGGCGCTTGCTGTGGTTTTGGGACAGAGGCAAGAGAAGATTCTCCATCCTATTTACTATGCCATCAAAACTTTAAATGTGGCTCAAAAGAACTATACAGTGACTGAAAATGAACTCCTTCCTGTGGTTTTCGCATTCAAGAAATTTTGATCTTACTTGCTTGGTGCCAAGGTCATAGTGCATACTGACTATTCTGCATTGAGGTATTTGATGGCTAAGAAGGATACAAAACCGAGGTTAATTAGATGGGTGTTGTTGCTGCAAGAGTTCGATTTTGGGGTGAAAGATAGAAAGGGGACATAAAATTAAATTGTCGATCACTTGTCCAGATTAGAGGAAGAAGCTATGCCCAAGCTAAGAGATGGGGCTGAAATTGATGATGCTTTTTTCTACCACTTCTTCTTCAGGAACACACCTTCTGATGACATGGTCAGCACACTCTCGGAACAAGTATGGCTCGTCCCAAAAGTACTTTTTAACATCGAATGGGAATCTTTTCTGTTGGTAAAAGGCCAACTCATCCGACATCAGCCCACATACAATGTAATTTGCAAATTCTGCATACCATGGCGTATGTTTGAGGGATATTGCAAACACCCGTTCATCTGGGAAGGAGTCATCTATGTCAACCTCGTGCTCGACATTCTCTTTTGCTTCTAGCCTTGATAAATAGTCATCGACTTTATTTTCTCACCCTTTTTGATCTTTCACCTCAAAATAAAATTCTTGTAATAGCAGTATCCATCTAATCAATCGTAGTTTTGCATCTTTCTTGGCCATCAATTAACAGAGTGCAACATGATCAGTGTGTATGATTACTTTAGTGCCTAGGAAGTACGCCCTGAATTTTTCAAATGCATAGACTACTACAATCAACTCTGGCTCGGTGACCGTATAATTTTGCTGGGCACTATTTAGAGTCTTGCTTGTGTAGTAGATTGGGGGAAAGAGTTTGTTGCGCTTCTGCCCCAACACAAACCCTAGTCCCATACCGCTAGCATTAGACATTAACTCAAAAGATTCAGACCAATTAGGGCTGATGATGATCGGGGTGGATATTAGCTTCTCTTTCAAACACTTAAATGCAGCCATACAAGCATAATTAAAGTGGAATTTCACTTCCTTCTCTAGGAGTTTGCATAATGGGAGTGCAATCTTTGAGAAGTCTTTGATGAACCTTCTATAAAATCCTGCGTGCCCTAAAAAGCTGCGAACACCCTTTACTGAAATCGGCGGGGGTAATTTCTCAATGACCTCAATCTTTTCCTTATCAACCTCCAACTCCTTTTGTGATACCTTATGCCCAAGAACAATACCTTCTTTTACCACAAAATGACATTTCTCCCAATTCAGAACCAGATTCGTTTCAACGCATCTTTGGAGTACCCGTCCTAAGTGAGTCAAGCATTCTTCGAACGTATCCCCGACGACTGAGAAGTTGTCCATGAACACCTCCATAGAGTCTTCGACCATATCTGCAAAAATAGACAGCATGCAACGCTGAAATGTTACTGGGGCATTACATAGCCCGAATGACATCCTTTTGAATGCGAAAGTTCCTTAAGGGCAAGTAAAAGTGGTTTTCTCTTGATCTTTCGGCGCAATAGAGATTTGATTGTAGTCGGAGTATCCATCCAAGAAACAGTACCACCCTCTTTCTGATATCCTATCAAGCATCTGATCCATAAAACGCATCGGAAAATGGTCTTTCTCGGTCCATGAGTTAAGCTTTCGGTAGTCCATGCATACTCTCCACCCAATCACTGGGTCTTGTTGGCACAAGTTCTCCTTTTGTATTTGGGACTACGGTTATTCCTCCTTTTTTTGGGACACATTGCACCGGACTTACACACTTACTATCTGCAATAGGGTATATCACCCCTGCATCTAGCCAATTGATGATTATTGGAGGGTTTAATCTCCGTTGATGTTCCACACTAGGCTTGCATTACTTGTCGAGCTAGATTTTGTGAGTGTAGCTTCCAGGAGAAATTCCTACTATAACGGCTATTGTCCATCCAATAGCTTTTATGTGCTTCTGCAATACTTCAATGAGCAATTTCACCTGCCTTTCAAGTAGATTGGCGACAATAATTACTGGTAGAGTATTATTGGCGCCTAAGAAGGCATATGTGAGATGAGAGGGTAGGACTTTTAACTCCAAATTCGGTGGTTCTTCGTTTGATGGTTTAGCAGGGGGACTTTCTCTGTTTTTCAGATCGATATCCAATTTGATTGGATTCCTTGAATATGATCCTAATCCTGATAAAGCAGCTATCGCTTCCTCGTAACCCTGAACTTTGGATTCATCATAATTAGCAAGCACAGATTCAAGGGGCTTAAATGACTCGCACTTGCCACTGCCTTATCTATCACATCCTTAGTGGAAACCACATGGATGTTTCTTGGTTGCTTCATGGACTTACAAATATTGAGGGTAACCTCATCATCATTCACAGGGAACTTTAATTTCCCGCTTTCAACATCCACCAGTGCTCTCCCTGTAGCTAAGAAAGGCCTTCCCAAAATAATGGAAATTTCAGCATCGATCTCACAGTCTAGAATCACAAAATGAGCCGAAAAGATGAACCGATCAACTTTTACTTATATGTCATAGAGTATTCTGACTGAGTTCTTGATTGATCGATCAGCCATGAGGAGTCTCATTGTGGTTAAATTTTGTTCACCCAAACCAAGTTGCTTGTATATTGCATAGAGCATCAACTTGATACTTGCCCCTAAGTCACACAAGGCTTTAGCAAATTGGAGCATACCAATTGTGCACGAGACTGTTAATGCTCCAGGATCTTCTCTCTTTGTGATTGAGTTATTTGTCATAATTGTACTGCAACTATGGGGCACGTCTATCATTTCATATTCCAAGCTCCTTTTCTTTGTAACCAGTTCTTTCATGAATTTGGCGTATCCCGACATTTCCAACAATGCTTCTACCAGAGGAAGGTTGATCGATAAGCTCTTGAATACTGACAATTTTTTTTTAAACTTCTCATCTTCATTTTTCTTTTTCAAACGTTGGGGAAATGGTGGAGGTATCTTGGGTAAGGGATATATGACTTTTGGAACTTGAACTTGTTGATCTGCTTCCTCCTGTGGTTCTTTAGTAAGGCCTTGTTGAATAAGCAAATCTTGTTCCTCCACTCGTTGACTCTCTTAATGTTTTTAAGTATCCTCATCTTCCATCATATCCCCTATCACCACCTTACCGCTACGTGTAACCACAACCAGCTCTCTTTCAATATGGTCCATGGGAGTTGTGGATGCTAATTGAGCTGATAATAGACTCAATTTACCTTCCAGCATTTTGATGGAATCCGCATGAGAATTTACTTTCCTGTTCAATGATGAAAAGTCATCTTTCATTCCTTTTAGCAGATCATCAGAGCCCTCAACTTTGTCGAGTATGTGTGATAACAAATCATTTACCCGAGGACTACTTGCACTCCCTTTAGATTCCGGGCCTTCGCTCAAGTGAATATGGTCCTCCTCCTGACCATCCTGCTCAGCCCAATCTTGCCAATATCTCCCTGGTTCTTCTCCTCTATAATATCTCCAACCTTGATTCCCACCCCGCGGTTGATAGCGTGCATGGAAACCCTCCTCGTATCTTCTGGAGTTCCAACCTTGATTCTCCCCTAGTCTTGAGTAACCGGAAGAAGAACCCTCCTCAACTCGAAACACCACACGTGTCCCCTTCATATGTTCTTTTAGCATTTCCATTTGAGATAACATCTTCTTGATGATTTCGTCCCTTTCCCTTTCTTTTTCGATCTGTTCCTGCGTTAATCGAAAGCATAGTGGGGAGACTTGATAGTCTTTGGTATACCATGCTTGGTTTGCTTTAGTCATACCATCAAGGAGAAATGAAGCTACTTCTAATGATTGTAACATTATTCCTCCTTGCACCAATTGATCAGCTATTCCTTTATTCATCGAATCTAGACTATGGTAGAAATGTTAGAGCAGCAACTCACTTGGTAGCCCATGCGTTGGGAACTTACGCAAAGATATTTTCAACCTTGTCCATGACTCGTGAATTGGTTCACCCTCCTGTTGCTTGAAATTTTGGATATTGTCCCTCAGCTTCATCATTCTTGATGGAGGAAAGAATCTTTCGTGAAATGCCATAACCAACTCCTCCCATAATCTGATGGAGTTGTTTGGGCGCTCAATCAACTATTTTGTGGCTCCCCAAGTTAACAAAAATGGAAATAAGCGAAACCGTATGCATTCTTGAGATAGGTTCTTGAATGATAAAGGAGTGCACACTTCCACAAAGATTCTTACATGATCGTGCGGATCTTCATGCTCCAACCCTCCAAATAAACCTCTCGAATGTATGAGTTGAAGTGTTGCGCTGGTAACTTCGAACATTACATTCCCGTCAGCTTGTGGTATGCAAGTTTTACCCATCTCGCCCATGCCGGTAGGATGATAAACACTATTAGCATCGTTGATGTTGTCTCGATGAAAAGCACCATCTGCTGAGTGGCACGCTTGACAGCTATTGTCCCCGTTTGTACTCATATGGCCTGTTGTGTCACACAAATACTCAAAACAAAATTGAAAATTAAATTAGTAAATTACAACTAAAAAGAGCAAAAATTTTACTAACCTAAAATTTTTCAAATAACACCACTCCCTGGCAGCGGCGCCATTTTGATGCTTATCGTGACCAATGACACTAACCTACGGTATGAGTGTACGATCGTCGATAGTATAGTAACCCAACTAAAGGTTGGGGTCGTGTCCCAAGGGAGTGGTTTTGAGAATTGATAGAAAAATAAAATTAAGCTCTAACTAGTCGTAGCTAAAGTCATTAACGATTAAAAACATAGTAAATTCAAGGGGGCGACACAAAAGTGTCAAATATCGATCTGGGGGTTTTGTCACAAGCAGTAAAAATAGCAAAAACTAACAACAAAATCAAGTATGGGGAAATGTTCTTGGGGTGTGACCGCAATACAAGTTGAGATAAGTTGTTGGGTACATGCTTTTAAAAGGAAATTTGTATGATAATAGTGACTAGGCTAAGCTTTAAATGGAAATAAGTTTCCTCTCGGGCAACTTACCCCGTTTCAAATGCGTTCCTCTCGAACACCCATTTGCCGCATGAAGACCAGCCTACGCCTTACCCCACTCACTCTCTCGAGCTGAGTGTTATGATATGGGACTAGGGCTCACCCTCTACGGCTGAACCTCATGTGGACCCACTCTTTAGGACATCAGCCTACTGGTCTTGGTTTCCCGACCTCCCTCTCGGGCAAGCCAAAAACACATGGGTGACTTTGTATTTAAAAGTACGAACCCTTTAGATTAAACCACAACCACTAGGTGAAATCACCATTAAACTACATCTAACCTATCAGCAAGCAAGACCCAACAATAAGATCAACACATATTTGCTAAATAACACCCCAAGAATGAGGTTCTTATCCACACATCAAGAAATAACAAAATACACCTAAAATGATAGTAAAATGAAATGGGTATAAGAAATTAAACCTTAATTTAAGTAAAGGAAGAAGAATAGAGAAGACCCACTTCCAACTTGGGGAAGATGAAATCCTTCTTTCTTCTAGTCTCCCAAAAACCCTCTCCAAACTTGAGAGAAAAATATCCAAAAAGTACTATTCTATTATGGAAATTAAAATAAAAGTTTGACTCCCAAAAATTAATAATAAGTTCAGTATTTATAGATTTCAGAAAATAGCGCTGGCAGATCTTTCGGCAAAGTTAGTCGATATCGCCTAATGACTTCGACGATTCGCCCTTCGTCTGTCTCATCGCTGTTTTGTGCTTGCCTTCCGCATCTTCACATTTTGGACCATTGGGCGGTATAGTACTGCTTCGCGGAACTATTCGGCGAAGCGCCGACTGCTCCTTTTATCGCCTTTTTGATCCTTCTCCTTCAGGGCTTCGCGTACTGGAACAAATGGCGGACTAAATCCCTTCGGCAATTCGCCAAGTGTACTTGGCGATGCTCGGGCTTCAGCTTCTTCGTTCTTTTTAGTCTTTTTATTCCTTTTCGGACCTAAGTGTCCATGCTTCTACTAACATTTCAAATACCTGAAACCTAAGAGTTTTGATCAGATATTGAGACAAAATAAGCATTCGAGGACACTATTTCTATCAAAATACACACCTAAATGAGTACAATTTGTGGACTCATCACAACGTCGTATCCTAGGGAGTCTGCAAGCCATGTCTAGTAGAGTCTTGTTTATAAATGTGTTGTGCACCACATCCTATAAGCAAGAAGCTACCGGGCATGTTAGAGTGATTATCCTTCTTTTGCTCACCTCGTGCTATAGAGCAGTGTCTTAAGGGTTGAGGTTTCGGGCTTATAATTGATACTTGTATGCAAATAGAGATGAGTGACACTAGACAGACCACAACTAGCCAGGGGCTAGACACAGCTGCAGGCGAGGGTACTGACAAGGTACCACAGGTGGAGGTAGCCTATTATGAGACCCAGGGGGAGACATCTTCTCATCCCCCTATAGCTTCTCCACCGCTTCATGAGCCTCCGAGGGCTACAGGACTTCCGGCTCCACCAACAGTACCACCTCTAGTTCCTCCTATTCCATCTTATCAGTATTTCAAGAGTGTAGTTTGTCTGTTAACACAGTTAGTAGCTGCACAGTGCCAACCAGTTGTGCCAGTTTTTGCCAGACCTTCTGAAGGGCCCAGAAGTTCGAGAGTTCATGAATTTCTTGCCTTGAATCCTCCACAGTTTAGAGGGACATATCGCAGAGAAGACCCTTAGCACTTTATTGATCATCTTCATAGGATCTTTAGAGTCATGCATGCCTCAGCGACTGAGTTAGTTGACTTAGCAACATTTCGATTGCGCGATGTTGCAGTATTATGGTACGAGAGTTGGGAGAGATCTAGGGGAAAAGATACATCCCTACGCACTTGGGATAGCTTTACAGAAGCTTTCATATATCACTATTTGCCTCGAGAGATTAGGGATGGCCGGGTGGACCAGTTTCTGAACCTCTGACAGGGCAGCATGAGTGTCTGAGAGTACGGGCTGAGATTTGATTCATTAGTTAGATATGCACCAGCATTTGTTGATACGATGCATGATAAGGTGCGTAGATTTTTGGGAGGGCTCGACTCAAACTATATCGACACTTGTTCTACCGCTGCACTAAATGATAATATGGATATCTCGCTAATTCAGGCCTTTGCATAAGGCATAGAGGATTGCCGACATCTACAGTATATAACTGAGAGGGTCGAGAGAGAGACCGAAGAGGGCTAGGCCCGCTGGTTCATAGGGAGATTTTTAAGGTGGTCCCAGACCTCGATATTCTATTAGGCCACCTAGACCTCCACCACAACAGTTCTAGGGTAGTAGATTTGATTGTCAGGAATAGTCAGGCCCAGGTGAGGGTTCACGAGCATCACGCTCGCAGAAGTAGAGGGATTCAGGTCAGGCTAGGAAAGCCCCGCCGCATTGCGGTACTTGCGGTAGGATGCATTTTGGAAGGTGTAGACAGGGTTCCACATGTTTTTATTCTTGTGGACAGGAGGGGCATGGGTGGAGAAACTGGCCTACCATAGGTCAGGATGGTATAGGTCAGTCGACCAGGTCAGCACTAGGTTCCTCCTCATCAGCACAATCTATAGGGCGTGGAACCCAAACTTCAGCATGTAGAGGTAGAGGCGGAGGCAGAGGGGGAGGATCTAGTTCTGGTAGTGGACAGAACCGTACATATTCATTAACCGGCCGACAGGACTCAGAGTCATCACCAGATGTTGTGATAGGTACATTGATCATTTGTTCCCATTGTGTTTAAGCTTTGATAGATGCTGGATCTACTCTGTCTTATGTTACTCCATTTACTGCGGGGAAGTTATGTATAGTACCAGAGTCATTAGATCGACCCTTTATTGTATCTACA